AAAATAACTTTAGCAAAAAGTCAAAAGCGTTCTCATGTTGAAATTAATTATGACACAAAATTTGACATTATGATATATGTCGCCGCAACGATTTTTAGAAACTTGATTTTAAGTTTATTCATTATAAAATTATTGTTTAAATTATTTAATGACGATTTGTTGATTTGTGAACAATGTCGCAATGTCAATGTCGTTAATAATTAGGCGTTGTTTTACTACGAGGCCGAATTCCTTTAACTACTTCCATTTTTGTTAAAATGGTGGTAGTCACATTTATTGTGATTGGTCAATTCTAAGACATGAATTACTTTCGCTGATAGATTATTTTAGTGCTAATATTTTAAAATCAATTGTAATAAAATCAAATCAATTTAACAAAGTAAAACTGCATCGATTACCTTAATAATTATTTTGTAAAAATATTGTGGGTAACTAAATGTTATGGTGTTGAACAAATGGTATAAAAAGGGAGTGACCTGCGTCACACCGGCACTTTTGCTCCAGCTCTCGGAAAGGAAACATTGTGAGTACAATCTATGTCGGTTTGCATTTAAAAATGTAACTAGGTAATTCTTGTGAGTTCATAATTAAAAGTTGTGAAATAATTAATTCATTTGCATACTTTCCTTCCAAGCCACGATTTACTCATTTGTATTTCATGTAAATTACATACATTAAAATCGCGTCTTCCCTTTTATTTACACCCATAACCTCAGTCTATTCGACATTTATATATTTTTTTATCAAACTATGTATTTGTATACATTGGCATGGCCGTAATTCGCGCATGGCGCTATTACGCCGATATCTCAATCTCTATCAATAGTTTTCTAATCATAATGCAGAGAAATTAATGGTAGGTATTTTGGATTAAAAATTAAATTGAACACACAAACATGATCATACATATACACAAGAACACATACATACTATAAATATATTCTACATCATTATTGTGTGCAATTTTTTTTATTGTTATTATACCAATTTTTTTACATAAAAGTGAACGAATTTAATTAAAACTTTGTATTCGAATTCGATTTTATTAATATCACCTCAATATAATATCGGCCTGTCTTTCTGTACTTCCGTCTGCGCGTAAATAAATAAAATGAAAAATAAAAGAAAAACAAAGTTTAAAATGTCTTTTAGTAATGATAATAACGTCAGAAAAGTAGGTAGTTCATAATCTGACAGCGGGTTGCAAACAGTGAGGTGTTAAAAACAAAAACTATATCTATATCTTTATCGTTCTTTTGGGGTCACACACAGATGTTATTTATACAAGCATGTCTCAAAATTTTATTAAATACACGATTAAATGTGCAAGTATCTTTTTTTATAAACTTTCTTAAATCTTATTTATTACTTACAGTATTTTTCAACATGGGTACTTAAGCCGTTCCCGCGAGTTAAATAAAAAAAAAACACATTTTGTGTTAAAAAACGTTAATTCCTTTATAAATTCTTGTAAGTTTTTTTTTATTGCTTAAATGGGTGGACGAGCTCACAGCCCACCTGATGTTAAGTGGTTACTGGAGCCCATAGACATCTACAACGTAAATGCGCCACCCACCTTGAGATATAAGTTCTAAGGTCTCAGTATAGTTACAACGGCTGTCCCACCCTTCAAACCGAAACGCATTACTGCTTCACGGCAGAAATAAGCAAGGCAGTGGTATCTACCAGTCCGGACTGACAAGAGGTCCCACCACCAGTAATAAAAGTAGTAAGTACTTACTTTAGTCATAAATCATAATACAACTATAATAATGATACGAAAACTATTTAAAGACTATTAAAAGAAAACCAATGGGAGGCATTTCTCAGCATTAGTACACCAAACTTACTCATGATTTTTACACGGACCACGGACCCGAATGTAATATTATTTTTACTATAAATTTATAGTATATAAATATTATACTTTTCTGTTGGGGCCCACATGCGTCCCAAGAATACCACACTAAGTAGCGAACCACGATGGCTCTTTATTGTAACGAGAACGCGTGGTCTTCATAGAGCAGATTGATCAAGCGATGGGCTTGTCGCCTGGATCACGATTCCAACACGGTCCTATGAATCTCGAACTTCTGCTAATCACGCTAGGTCCGGGACGCGGCCTGCCCTGAATGTACTGAAAATCAGTGGGGAATTGACTTCCACCTCCAGATTTCAGGGAGGCCTCTATGAGGCGTTGCGAACACGCACGCTACTACGAAACAGCCAGTTCGTTCAGCCGAACGGAGAAGGTCTTCCCCCTCACCCACACCCTGATGTTCTATCTGGTCAGACAAGACGTGGCACTATTTTGGGGCTCTATAAAGTGCCTTCATCATCAGTCTTTAAATTTAAGATAGATACTGAAGGAAATTTCTTAACACGCACAAGGAAGCTCTATCTGCCGTTTAGTACGTGGTCGAAGTACTTTAGTTTCGCCTAAATGGACGCCGTCCGACCACGACGGGGCAATGCAAAGCTGCCGTCGCTTGAAGCATGTCTGTCGGTTGATTCACTCTGGGTACTTTTAGGCCTCTCAAGCACCGGTCACCGTCCTCGTCGAACTCGTCGATTAGGACGAAGAGTTCGACGAGCGAACTAAGCCATAGATACAGCCCATTGAATTTCTTGCCGCAGGATCGCGATTCCGAGCCAGTGGTATAGCACTGCTCATGCTAGGGCTAGTATTAGCAAATTCTTTCAGGTTGAGCCCGTGAGCTCACCTACCCGTTTGGGCGTCGCCGGAATAGCATCTTAGGCTACCAGTTAATAGTGACCAGGTGAGAAATTGTCGGCAACCCGTGGATATAAAACCCAGTGACCGTAAACAACCTAACCGATCAAGTCAATGCAATTGATTTTTTTTTCCTACCTAAGCTGAGAGCCTTGAGAGGCTATTCAGCGTAACCTCAACTAGTAGGTGAGCTCACGGGGCTCAAACCTGACGACGTTGCTAACACGAACCTTAGCAAGAGACGTGCTTCGCAGAATCTACCAACGGATCGGAAACGCGACCCACTGAGAAGATCCAGCGAGAAACTCAGTGGGCTGCGTCCGAGGGTTAATTTACTCGTCGAGCCGTTCGTCGCAAGCGACGGGTTCGACGAGAACGATGACCGGTGCTTGAGGTACCTATAAGCACCGTTAATGAATCGGGAGGATCCGAAATGACGTGTTTGGGGCGACGTCGACTTCTTTCCATTCTGTCCGCAGGATCGGGAATGATGCAATCGAGAGGCATGTTAATCCCCATTGAGTCTTAGCGTCAGAACTAAAAAGGTATTTTTTTTTTTAAATTCCAACCTATCGGAAGTAATTGCGTGTAATATTTTAATATTACAAGTGCATGTTTAAACAGATACTGTACCCACCTGCACAAACCAAATTTCTTTAAGTAGGTAAAAATATGACTTTAATTAGTGGTAATGAGTTATTGATGTTTGAAGTGCGCTCGCTGTCTTGTGAAGATAAGTATCTTGAGACGTTAGTTCTGAGTTTCAGGTGTATCATGATACAATTTATGGTTTTAAAAGCCAAATTTTATCAACTACTTATTTAAATCAGTTCTCTCCCGATTATTGTAGTTCGACCGAAATCAATCAATCAAATAAGCATTATGCAAAAGGTCAATTACTTGACAAAATCTTCATCGTGACATTTAATTTTTAATGCATATTTTTGTTTCATTTTCTTAAAGGAAAAGCGAAGATATCATACGATACAGCCTAATCTTTTATATATTCTGTTATATAAAAAATATACATGGACGAAATGAGGTGAAGTTGGTTTATTTGAGACTGAAATCAATTAAGATGAAATTAATTAAAATAAGATGAGAACGGCTGAAATAACGTCTCAGTAAAGTGGTGATTATATACAAAGATTTTATGGAAGATCTTGAGAAGCCACGTCCAGCGACCGTTTCATTTTCCTACATTTATGCACTTCCACAGATGCTAAACAGTAAACAAACCAAAATTATGAAATGTTTAAGCCCACAGAAACACTAAATTAGGACAGTAAAACAATTCCCACAATCTAGCGCTTTCCTGCCAAAAACTTCATTTATGACTGAATTAAAACCTTTTAAGTTAGCTGTTTGACATGTACCTACCATCGTACCATCTGGCTTTGGAATAGGCTCCCCTCCACGGTGTTTCCAGAGCGCTATGACATGTCCTTCTTCAAACGAGGCTTAACGGTAGGCAGCGGCTTGGCTGTGCCCCTGTCATTGCTGGAGTCCATGGGCGACGGTAACCACTCACCATCAGGTGGACCGTATGCTCGTCTGCATACAAGGGCATTAAAAAAAAACTCAAGCGAGGTCTATATCACTGATCTAGGATTCTTTTGATCATTTGTGAGACGCGCAAAAAATGGACGGCCACAAACTAGGACGCCCTGTCCATCACTAATGATGATGTTGAGCCGACTACCTCTTCTCCGATATACATATTCACATATGTACCCTCCAAATTTGTTTTCGTCATTACGCTTCGGATTTTTTTTCTTTTTCTTTTATTTTTTTTATTTTTTTATTGCTTAGTTGGATGGACGAGCTCACAGCCCACCTGATGTTAAGTGGTTACTGGAACCCATAGACATCTACAACGCAAATGCGCCACCCACCTCGAGACATAAGTTCTACGGTCTCAGTATAGTTACAACGGCTGCCTCGCCCTTCGAACCGAAACGCATTACCGCTTCACGGCGGAAATAGGCGGGGTGGTGGTACTACTCGTGCGGACTCCCAAGAGGTCCTACCACCAGTCATTACGCAAATTATAATTTTGCGGGTTTGATTTTTATTACACGATGTTATTCCTTCACCGTGGAAGTCAATCGTGAACATTTGTTGAGTACGTATTTCATTAGAAAAATTGGTAACCGCCTGCGGGATTCGATCACCGGTGCATCGCTACATACGAATGCACTGGACGTTTTATCCTTTAGGCCACGACGACTTTAATCCGGCAAAATGTGATTGAACATCGACTCACCGCATGTGGTATCGTCTGCGTGTAAACAATGATGTTGCAGCAGACCGCCGTGAAGAGGCCGCATAGTACTATTATGACTCTGGACAGCATTTTAGTTCAGTTCATGTTATTCTTGCACCCCGAATTCGTCGATCATACTCTTATTGAAGTCTTCGGACGACGAGAAGACATTGTTCTAGCTGTAAACAAAAATAGTGGATTTTTTCTCTCTTTCTCTTTCTCTCTTTATTTAATACTAGCGGCCCGCTCCGGCTCCGCTCGGGTCTTTAACAAAAATTTCAACGATATTTGACGTTGTTTTATTTTTTTAAATAAAAGTACACTTATTGCGGCATAACTATAATAGTTAGACATACACTGTCGTGACATTTTTTGTAAACAATAATGTATTCTACAAAGTCGTAGTACATTATTTTATTCTATCATCAATAGTTTTCACAGGGCACGCGATGTAAAGAATATTTTAAGGTAATTTTTTTTACACCTTGGTTTACATTATTGGAGTTTTAGTAAGGATCACAAATTTTTTTCAAAAAATATTGTAGCCTATGTCACTCGAGAATAGTGTAGCTTCCAAGCAGTGAAAGAATTTTTCAAATCGGTTCAGTAGTTTCGGAGCCTATTCAATACAAACAAACAAATCTTTCCTTTTTACAATATTATTATTATAGTGTATTAAACACTGCCACGCCTGGGAAGACGGCAGGACACACTCCGGCGAGGTGGGCAACAATCGGCCGGAGCGTTGGGGACTATTGGGAGAGAAACCGGCGAACTATACGGGCATTATCGAGCAAGACTGCCTTTTGCATTTGGGCCACCACCGACTTTTTGTTGAGACCAAGCCTCTCGAGANATCTGCAGAAGGCTAGAATACAGTGGAGGGTCGCCAGTTACTCCAAGGGGACCGTTCACGACCTAGACTTAGCGCCCTAGGCCATGCAGCCGCTCGGCACGGTGCCTTACACCTTCGGCTAGCGCTGGTTGCTTGCGCGGATGGAACAACCATCTCATATTGATTGTTTCACCCACGGGCGATGGGGTCACCACTTCCCTACGCCTATTTATTATTATTATTATTATTATTATTATAGTATAGAAGCATAGACAAGAGTGTCCAGTTTAGTATTGGATGGTACCTGCCGACCAGCATGTCATACGTTCAGATTTGAAAGCTCTTATACTCGTCTAATGCAATATTCGAGCCTTTGATCTCAATTCATAAGATTAATGAGGTAATATTGTTAATGGATTCTGATATTCACCAACACTGGCTCGTTCAACCATCAATATATATATAACAGTATATAAAAACTGTAGGTTTTAAAGTAGGTATGCTAAGTATACGAAAATTTAGTGATACTCAAACTAAAATTAAATTTTGACGATGAATTTTATCGTGTATTCCACACGAATGAAATACAAACAGTACGTGAACTGTGTCACCGGTATGAGTAACAAAGCAGATGTAGATTCTGTTTTTTTTACCTACCTATTCGCTGGTGGCCTGATCACACGTCATTTCGGATCCTCCCGATCCCCACTAACGGTGCTTTTAGGTACCTCAAACACCGGTAATCGTTCTCGTCGAACCCGTCGCTTGCGACGAAGGGCTCGGCGAGTAAAATAACCCTCAGACACAGCCCACTGAGTTTCTCGCCCGATATTCTCAGTGAGTGGCGTTTCCAATCCGGTGGTAGATTCTGCGAAGCACTGCTCTTGCTAGGGTTACTGTTAGCAACGTCGTCAGGTTTGAGCCCCGTGAGCTCAACTACTTGTTGGGTTACGCTACCCTAATACACTAACCCTAGTAAGAGCCGTGCTTTGCAGAATCTAGCGCCGGATCGGAATCGCGACACACTGATAAGATCCGGCGACAAACTCAGTGGGCAAAACGAGTCTGTATCACGTTAGGTGCTCACAAGACGAGGACTTTCTTATTAATACATTCAACTTACGTAGCAAGGATTTAGCTACGACTTACTTTTAGAAACGCTACTAAATTTATCGATACATTTAAATAGATATTCGTCCAGTATAAACGTCTCTTTAACACTGGCGAGCTATAAAACATATTTCACGAGGTTCCTTGTGGCGCTGCGTTTTGAAACGAGTCCTATATAATAACATCGATCTTAATGCACTTACTTAAAGTTGAAAATCGTTAAGTGTTCAAATTCACGACGTATTTAAATTTGTATTTTTTTGTAGTTTTCTTTTGAATCTCGAATTGATTTTATTGCGAAATTCTATTCATTTCATATTAATATTCATTTTATTCTTGACCTACACTATTTTATTTTTAGTTTAACTAATTTCACAGAGATCTACAGATAATCTAAAATACCTACGCTTTATTCGTTTTGCAATCTGATGCACTAAAAAGACTTAATTCAAACGAAAAAGTGCCCGCGACTTCGCTAAAAAGAAGTTATAATAATATTGACTCATGACGACGATGAATACGTTTGTTTGTTCTTTGTTCTTTGTCTCGGTGTTTATTATCTATACATTATTACTGGTGGTAGGACCTCTTGTGAGTCCGCACGGGTAGGCACCACCACCCTGCTTATTTCTGCCGTGAAGCAGTAATACGTTTCGGTTTGAAGGATGGGGCAGCCGTTATAACTATACTTGAGACCTTAGAACTTATATCTCAAGGTGGGTGGCGCATTTACGTTGTAGATGTCTCTGGGTTCCAATAACCACAAAAAAAAAACGTATTTATTATTAAAAAAACATATAAGTACTTAAACAAAAACAGTTTTTTATTTTAATATTTTTAATGCATATTTAGGTGGACGAGCTCACAGCCCATCTTGTGTTAAGTGGTTACTGGAGCCCATAGACATCTACAACGTAAATGCCGCCACCCACCTTGAAATATGAGTTCTAAGGTCTCAGTATAGTTACAACGGCTGCCCCATCCTTTAAACCGAAACGCAAAATATCTATGACAGCCTCTGGTACCCTCTGGTGACACGGGGAATATAGCACACACACTTAAATTGGGGTCGGATGAGCGTGCGTGATTTGTTCCTAGTTATTTATTAGTTATTTATTTATTTATTGTTTGACACAAAATTAACAATTATTAGTTTATTTAACAATATTTGCTATCTGTATGTGCATTACTATAATTCTCATGTTGTATTTGTTATTTTAGCTGTTCTACACACACTCATCACTTTTAATTATTATTCTCATAATCCTCTCGCAGGTCTGCTGGAAGAGATTTCTTAAAGAAATAAGCAGTGTCTTTGTACAAAATTTTCCTATTACTCTGTACTATGTCTTCTTTTCTGTGTGTACATAAATAAATAAATAAAAATAAAGGCAGCTTTTTACTGTGCAAATTGGGTACAATTAAAATCAGCTGATTTGCGAGTCTATGCTCTCATGTGATGTTAGAGAGCTCTCTTCATTTTAAGTTACGGCTTCATCGAATATGAAATTGTTAAGCAAAACAATTTTTCTGATGTCTTTTAAAAAAAAAAATATTTTGTTCTTTTCATATTGATGATTGATGTAACTATTGTTTTTATTTGAGTACATGTTGCCTCTAACATTCATAAAATATTTTTTATGTATAGTACAAGATTGCTTTGCATTTATAAGGTAATGCTTTAGCAGCCGTAAGTAGATTTTTTTTTAACTAAGACCTCAAGGCCCACCTTGAGACTAGAGTTCTAAATCTCAGTTTAGAGTACAATGGCTGCCCTTCAAACTGAAATGCAATACTGCTTCATGGCAGAAATAGGCAAGGTGGTGGTACCTACCCGTGTGGACTCACAAGATGTCCTAACACCAAAATGAAGACTACAGATTCATGTTTAAATGGCACCAGGCAATTTTAGTTCAGATTATTATATTTCTGAAAAAATTGAAGAGTTTGTGGTTTAAAAAAAAATTTAAGACCAAAAACACATTTGAATGTAAAATTATAAATCTATCAAAACCCAGTATAGAAATAATATAGGTTTATTACTGTAACGTCAATTTGTAAAATAATATTTGTTTTTATATTGTGTTCATTAAACCATTTTTTACCGGTGGTACACCAGTCGTTACCCCAGTGGTGTTTCCAATATGACAGAATTGGTAAAATTTAAAGTAACAATAAGAAGCATGGATATTAAGTTCATATAGTCTGTTCCATTCATCCATTTCTATATCACCATGTTTCAGACAACTTTTCTTTTGTTTCAAGTTCGGTTGGTATATTGTTAAGAAAGAAATATTTAGAAAGAGGCAATACCACAAACTCCATGTAACAACTCAGTATAAGGACCTAGCAAGAGGTTAGTTCCCAGCCCAAAAAAATGAATGCCATAATTGATCTTTAATTCTTTTTAAGATACTTCATGTTGAATTTTTATTCTTTGAAACTCAACCTTTATGATACCAAGGATTTCTTATTCAAGAGGCCTAATCCATGAGTCAGTCGTGAACTCTTTAAAGGACATAATAAAACTATTATTGAATTAATGCAAATACAATCAACACTTATTACAAAGTAATTATCATAATAAAAGTATATAGTATGTGATTTTTTAAATAACTAGTCGTAATTTTGCCACAGACTTAGGTTTATCACAAATGAGAACAATAAATATATGGAATTTTAACACAAAGGATATAGGTATATACTCTTTCATAATACATTTTTTACATGAATATGTCAAAAATCACAGTTAACAGATTGTTTATTGGTATTTTTTGTACTAATTGCCAATTACTACATTATGTCCATGCTAAGTGATGTACCTGTTATGGATTTAGAAATTGCTTTCTTATATTCAATGAAACTAATTATAGCCTTAAGACATCATTAAGAAACATGAGTTTACTCACTACAAATTATTGTTTTCCTTCTCAGGCAAACAGCCCATCTGATGCTTTGTGTTGTTTCAGAGCCACTGCCTAAATTTAAAACTTTTCACGCTTGATTATGGTATCAATCTACATCAATTGAGTTCAATTATACAGAATTCACAGTATGTAATGTAACATGATTACATTTCCATTGTCTTTATACATGTCATTTTCATATTATACGTTTAAAGGCAGGTTAAACGGTTTCAGGAAAAAATCATATCCTTTGGTTTGACGTAAAATTGTTTACTAAAGTAATAAGATTATGTTTTTCTTCAGCTCTGAATCAGAGATTTAATTAGTACGTAGTGATAATGTAAACAGCTATGGAAATAGGAATATAGATGTACTTACGCACAAAAGGAAGTGTGTTGATAAAATGTTTCGTAATCAAAAGCACACTGTTAGTATTCAATAAACTATCATTTCACAAATGTTCATTTTAAATTAACTTATTTAAATTAATTTGATTTGTATAAACAAGCCTCGTCCTCGAATCACGTGTGTAACGACAACAATAATATAGTCGTTCGCACAAAGCACAAGATGAAAATATTACATACAAACAGAAACTAAAAATACTTTATAATCCCGTCGCAAAATGTAAATTTAGAATTGCATTTGCGGAATATTACGAAAACTCGGTATTTAGAATTACAGCTTTATAACTAGCTTAAGAACAAGAATAGGCTTATTGTTGATATGAAAGCCTAATTTCGATAATTAAACTACGACTGAAATGAATCACTTCACTCATTTACTCGCTTGGTGCAAAAATTTAACGAAATGTCACTTGTCAGCTGTCAAGTGTCACGTGCCATGTAATGTCAATATATTTTCGTCTAGAAACAGAAGTAAAAGCCTATTCAAATATTAGGTTGTTGCTGTTTTACAGTACTGGCCATTTGAAATATGATTTATGATTGACATTAAATTCTAAATTCAAAGAGTTTGATTTGAAAAATATTGAATTTTATTTTTTATTCGATCATTTCTTTATTGGTTAGTGTTTTGTTTTTACTGCATTTGTATCTTTTTTATCAAAATGGATTCGATAAACATATGTACGAGTGATTAGGAAATGTGAGCTCAACCGCAGTGGCAATCCCAGATAAACCATCTTGTTTGTTTTGATAACCATCCAAGTAATTAAAATAATGAATCCCTAAAAAGTGATGTTCACTGTACACACGATCACATGGTCACTGTGTTAAACTGTCATAGTGCCGGTATAATTTCTTCACAGCTTCTTACCAAATTGCGCTAATATTACTGTGGATGCATACAGTGAGTAGCTGGACACAATGATGCAGAAACTCGCGAATTTCCGGCCATAGTTAATCGCTCGTCCTCGCTGCTCACATGAGAATCTTCGACCTCATACGGTACAACAGACGGTCTGTAAGCTACAAGACCAGATCTTACGCTAAAATACCTCTACTTTTTCGAAAGTTTGGACAACGTCTTCTTCTTTTTCTTTCTTTCCTATCACCCTCTGCTGGGGCGTAGGGCTCGAATCAAATCTTTCCATTTACGACGTCTTGAAAGGGAATAAATTCAATACCCGAGAGACAGTTCAAAATTCCTTTGTAGAGTTTGTTGGCTCCCGTATACCTGACTTTATTTTTGGTGCGGGGGTGACGGAAAACGCCTATCGAGTACTCTACGCGGAGCATTGTGGTGGAGTTGTGGCTTGCATTCGTTCAATGTGGACGGAGCAGAGATGTGTAGTCTCTAATGCTTTTTTTTAATTTCATTTCATTATTTTATTTTTCTTACGTAGACTTATTATTTTGGTATAAATACAAAAGTTAAATTTATATTTCTTAAAGTAGAATTTATATATATTAGATATATTAGAACAAAATAGTAGTAAACATTTTCTAGAATTCGAAATGTTTTCTTTGAAAGATCCACAGATAATAATTTTTTTTTTAACATAGTAGGTATTTTGTTTTTCATAAATAGCTTTGATAGTTTGAATTTAGATTTGACTATGGTTTCGATTGAGCTCAGGAATGAATGAATGAATAAATGAATATAGACTTTATTGTATTGTGAAGAGGGGATAAATAAATATTTCCAAATAAAAAAAATATTATACATAATATACAAGGCGAGGTTGACTAGTTAATGGGTTTTCCTTCAGAAAACTATCTCTGACTAAACCGGTAACATCAGTTAGGATAACAGGTTGTGAACGAGGGCTCAAATTGATATTTGTATTTTAATTAAAACTGCTTTTGCGGCTTAAGCTCGCGTTTTCTATTGTCATTCCGTTATTTCTTAAACTTAACTTAGATGAAACTTAGATACAACATTTTTATATTTTAATTATTTCTTAGATGGATGAACGAGCTCACGGCCCACCTGCTATTAAGTGGTTACTAGAGCCCATGGACATCGACAACGTAATGCCGCTATCTACCTTTAGATATGAATTCTAAGTCTTAGCTTTACAGTACTTCGGATCCAAACCGAAATTTAGGCTACGATATTGACGAGAATTTATTTTTAATAATTAAGCTATTAAGTTTTAAAATAGCACACTCCACGAAGAACACCGGTCGCCGCTTAACATCAAATAGGCCTAGAGCTGGGTTGTAAAATTCGTTTACGAATAAGAATAGACATAGATATGTCTAGATGGATAGCTTCTAGTTCTAAGTTCTGAAGTCGTTTGTCTTAAAGAATAAGACCCCCAGTTTATTCATGTCGAGCCACGATATCAGAGTATAAGTCCAGCTGGTACCACCATCACATCTGCCGTTGCCGCGAAGAAGTCCTTAAGTAACACGGCACCAAAAAGGTTCTAATATATCACCCACAATAAAAATAAAACACAAAGTTATTACAAATAGCTTCTTCAAATTACGATAAAATTTTATTCAATGGTGAAATAAAAGTAATTTACGATTCAGATGGTTCATAAATAATACAGTTTGTTATTTCGTTCGTGACATACTCGTAATTGCTTATGGAAATGTCTCCATTATCTTCACGAGGCCAGAGAGATTACAACAGTTGAACGTGCGGTAGGACTTCTTGTGAGTCCACACGGGTAGGTACCACCACCCTGCCTATTTCTGCCGTGAAGCAGTAATGCGTTTTAGTCTGAAGGGTGGGGCAGCCGTTGTAACTATACTGAGACCTTAGAACTTATATCTCAAGGCAGGTGGCGGCATTTACGTTCTAGATGTATATGGGTTCCGGTAACCGCTTAGCACCAGGTGGACCGTAAGCTCGTCGACGTACATAAGCAACAAAAAAAAATTTCTAATGCAGTATAAACTGTTTTAAATATGAATCTCTACAAATCCTCTGAGTTTCTGCCGGATTTTGTCCCGACCCGAGATTCCGATCCGGTGGTAGATTCAGCGAAGCACAGCCCTTGTAAGTAGATGTTAGTAAATCCTCTCAGACCCTGTGAGCTCAACGCCAGTCAAAAGTCGGCAAAGCCCCTCAAGGCTACTTACTGGCCGATAGATAGAGAAAAAAACAAGTGAATACAGTAAAAGCTAACAATATTATCGTAAATGATGAGTAAATAATTTAATACCAAGCGATATCTACACGCTTTATTTTTCTCCAATATTTTTTCTTATGTAAATTTCAGAATTTTAAGCCAAAGTAACGAAATTATTGTAATTGCCTTCGGTTTATGATGCGTCTCGTGAATCGGACATTGCGAAGTTAATGATAATAATACAGGTTGAGCTAATGAAAGCGTGTTATTAAGTAGGATACCGACTCGCTCGGCAACTTTTCGAAAATGTATATTATTGGTATTGTATAAAGAACACGAATTGTGTAAACACAATAAAATGAAAGCTTGAACTAATGGACCGTAATTTGTCCTAGTTTAAATTTTATAATAATAATATGGTATTCCAAATTGAAACTTTTTTTTTTTATATGGGTTGGACAAGCTTACTCACGGCTTGGTGTTAAGTGGTTACTAGAGCTCATAGTCATCAACAACGTAAATGCGCCACACACCTTGAGACATGAGTACTAAGGTCTCTTCTTCTGTTTTTACAGTATAACGGCAGGCCCACCCATCAAACTGAAACGCATTACTGTTTCACGCCAGAAATAGGCATGGTGGTGGTACCTACCCGTGCGGACTCAAGACGCCTTACCACCAGTAATTAGGCAAATTACCATATTTGCGAGTTAAATTTTTATTATACGATTAAAGGGCTTAAGTAGGAATTAAATAATACGTCACTTTACTCTAACTTGTATTCATTGCCACCACTTTTCACTTACGGAGTAATTTACAGTGGTCGTGTTTACACTTTCAACTCTCTACCGAGAATGAATGCTTTTTTTTAAGTTATTATACTTCTTTGGGCGCGTTATGAAAAATTTATGAGAGTGAAACTTTACGATGCGCGCGCACCGTGACACAAAATTAACAGAATGAAGTTGCCCACTAAATCGCTCATTACAATACGACCGACGTAACTTGGCGAGTCTGAATATAGCCGCAGGTGAACTTTCCGAACCGTACCGAGAATTACCGAATTTATACGATGTCAAGAAAAGGGATGTCCAATATACGTGTTTGAGGATGTTGCTTAATCGACTTTTTCAAATTGATTAAAATTTAAATAAAATAAAAAGAAATAAATGTAATAAAAATAAAGTATAACTTCTTACGCGCGTACATAAGTACACGCACCCTTTTTTATGATTGAAGGATTACCGGTGGCCCGGAGGCCTTTCCAGTTTCACCAGGACAGGTGGGTGAGGGAATGAATGTTACCCCGATGCGCTCGAATATATTGCCTGATCGTCCCACCACAACGGAATGGTGCTGGTGGTGCGATCGACAACGTCACTAGATGAGTGGCGCCAACCGAATCAATTGAATATTTATTTAAAATTATTATTAAAATAAATTCATTTAATTATATTTGAGGTACTAACGGCCGTCTGGTGTAGTGGTAAGTGACATGGTCACTACACAAGGGGGTCGCGGGTTCGAATCCCGCCAAGGGAAGATATTTGTATGATAAATATAAATGTCTTTCCAGGGTTATGGGTGTATATTAAATATATGTATGTGTATAATAAAAATATTATATTTATTTCCGTTATCTGGTACTTGTAACACAAGTTCTTTACGAANTAGTGGTAAGTGACATGGTCACTACACAAGGGGGTCGCGGGTTCGAATCCCGCCAAGGGAAGATATTTGTATGATAAATATAAATGTCTTTCCAGGGTTATGGGTGTATATTAAATATATGTATGTGTATAATAAAAATATTATATTTATTTCCGTTATCTGGTACTTGTAACACAAGTTCTTTACGAACTTAGCACAGGACCAGTTAACGTGGCGTGAATGTTAAAAAAAAAAAAAAACTATTATCTATTTCAAGGAATAATTAGATTAGTTTTACACATATGCGCTATTTAGTCAGACACTTTACATATTATTGAGTTTGAATATAATACAATCGAAAACGTCATCGGATATGCGTAGCAACTAAGTCTACACGACAGCAGAATTTATTATAATTTATGTAATATCCTCGGAACTTGTATTATGTACTTATAAATGTAAATACCTAACACGATGGTATTCTTTCACCGTGGAAGTCATTGGTAAACATTTGCTTAGTTCGTATTTCATTAGAAAAATTTGTACTTGCACAGTTGCATCGCTCGATATGAATACACCGGGCGTCTTATTTACCCTTTAGGCCACAACGATTTCAAAACTAAAATTAATTTAAAAAAAATGAAAGTATGACG